ACCAGAAGAGCTGGTGGTGCTGGCTAAAGATGCTTCCGGGCAGCCGATTTTTAATGCTTCTGCCAAACACTGGACCAATTTTATCCTTACAGAAAATGCAAATGATGCGATTGGTATCCTTAACAATTCTGCCTCATACAACAAAATGTCTGTTGAATACAAATATGAGATGATGCCAAATCGTACGTGGCGTTGTCGAGTGTTTTTGCAAGATCACTGCTTAGCTGAAGGTTATGGAACCAAAAAAACAAGTAAACATGCAGCTGCTGATGAGGCTTTGAAAATCCTTCAAAAAACACAACCCACTTACCCATCTGTCAAAAGTTCACAGTGCCAAACAGGCTCTTCACCCAGGGGATCTGGGAAGAAGAAAGATATAAAGGATCTCGTAGTTTATGAGAATTCTTCAAATCCTGTGTGCACGCTGAACGACACAGCTCAGTTTAATCGAATGACAGTTGAATATGTCTATGAAAGAATGACAGGACTCCGATGGAAATGCAAGGTGATTCTAGAGAGTGAAGTAATTGCAGAAGCAGTTGGAGTGAAGAAAACTGTCAAATATGAAGCTGCTGGGGAAGCTGTGAAAACCCTCAAAAAGACCCAGCCGACTGTCATTAACAACTTGAAGAAAGGAGCTATTGAAGATGTGATTTCAAGAAATGAAATTCAGGGTCGCTCAGCAGAGGAGGCTTACAAACAACAAATCAAAGAAGATAACATTGGAAATCAGCTGCTGAGAAAGATGGGTTGGACGGGTGGGGGTTTAGGTAAATCTGGTGAGGGCATTCGGGAGCCAATCTCTGTCAAAGAGCAGCATAAGCGGGAAGGGCTTGGTCTTGATGTAGAGAGGGTAAATAAAATTGCCAAGAGAGATATTGAACAGATCATCAGAAACTATGCCCGCTCGGAGAGCCACACGGATTTAACCTTCTCTACAGAGCTGACTAATGATGAGCGGAAGCAAATACATCAGATTGCCCAGAAGTATGGTCTTAAGAGTAAGTCTCATGGGGTGGGCCACGATAGGTACCTGGTGGTAGGTAGAAAAAGACGGAAGGAGGATTTACTAGACCAGCTCAAACAGGAAGGCCAAGTGGGGCATTACGAGCTTGTGATGCCCCAAGCGAATTGAGATCTTACTAATTTATTTCGTAAATGCCTAATGAGGCAGAGTTATGACTTAAAGAAATGCTACATGTTCTGGTTGCAGAGTATATTCATTCTTAAGATGTTTCACCTTGTTCATTTCATATAGTGCTTTATTAGATATTGGAACTTGAAGAATTCTGTCCACTTGTATTAGCTTAATCCAGCAGATAATATTGTGCAGTTACTGTTTGTGTCTTTGATATTGCTGTGTCCCTCAGATTTTAGTAGTTTGTACAAAGCAAGAACACATATCCAAATGGAATTTCACCCCGAGAAAGAAATTCCCATTTTAAAGGGCATAGCACAGCAATTTGCAACAATATGTAAAGTTGATATTGACTACAATAAAACTACAGTCTTAATTCCAGACTTCACTGAAAATGTCAGGTCATTTTGTATTATCTATTTTCATCTTTATGTGAAGCCAGTTATAGAATGTTTAATAGTAAATTGTGCTGTATGTGTAAATGTCCTTACCAACTAAATGATGTAAAACTTTCTTAAAGTAATTTTAGTGTTCATTTATTTATAACTTCTACCATGTGGTTTCCAGAATATTGGAAGTGATATACTGTATCTTGTGATATATGAGTGTTAACAAATTCTAGTCTTCACGCTGAGAGAGCACTACTTAAGAGAGCAATTGAAAAGTTCCCAAAACTTTGATTCAGTCTGAAGAAAGGAAGCTGGAACTGTCTGTTCTTGGTGCCTTGCAGAGAGACTCGCAGCAACTCTCCGTTATAGCTTTCACATGATTTGGGTGTATAGCACATCCAAGGTGGCCACAGCTGTGGTGGAGCTTGGTAAAAGACTGAAGATACATTGGTGCTTTGATGAAAAGGTTAGTTGGCTGGTCCCTCTCTCAAAAAGCTTATTTAGCCCCCAAAGCCAACTTTGTAACATATTTAAAACTGCTATTTTCGCTTATTTCTGGAATGTACAAAAAACTGTATAAAAAGGATTAGTGTATGCTTCCTGAATAAAAAGGAGCCAAAGTTGATCAAAACGGTGGTGTGCTTGTTTCTGGGAAGCAGCCTGGTAGCGACACTTCGGGTCTTTGGAGAAAGGAAGTGGCGTTTGCACAAAATATTTCAACACTTAGAGCACATGTGGATGAACATAATGACTTAGCAGATACGAACAGCCAGTCAGCCACCCATCACGTTTTCTCTGGGGACCAACCTGCTGGCTGCAACCAAATCTCAGGCTGTTTACTTTTACGTGACTTTGTTTTTGTATCTCAGATAAATCAAGTGTTAATATTCAGAGATAAATACTGATATTGATAAACACTTCCAATGACTTCATATTTAGAACAATTAGGTTGTTTACAGTGTCTTAAAACATTTAGCACCAAAGTTGACATGTAATTGGCTCACAATGAACAATTTCCTTTCCCCTCTTATTTATATTTTACATTAAGCAGCTGTCCATTGTAGTTAAATCAGTATTTTAAAAATATAAAGGGATTAACTTTTATGCCTGGACCTCTGTGACTTTTAGTCACCTACAGTGATTAACACAGTAAGTGATGTTTGCTTTCCACTAACTCTTTTGTCCTGCAGTATATGGCCTTTCCTAATGTTGGTAGGAAGGGAAATGAGGTGTGCATTTTATTTTGGCACTTAATGTTTTAACAGTGGCAAAGGGAACTAAGCTAAAATGTTTACAGATTTTATAGGATTTTTTTTTTTACCTACAAGTCTCATGCCAACTCTGAGAAGCTGTGGTTCAATTAGTGTTAGAAAAGCCAGGCTTCAACTCCCTTGGGTAAGAGTGGCTTTGGGGATTAAGGAGTGTGAAAACTCATTTCTCTACATTTCTTTTCTCTTCCCAAAATGATTTGGGGGCTGGAGGAGTAGGGTAGTGTTACACAAATCTGGTTTATCTATATAAGTTCAATAGAACAGAATATTAATATAGTTAAGCTCTGAAATAATGGGGCCAAGTGTGTATTTGGTTCTCGATTGGAGAGTCCAGATTTCCTAACTTCTTAGATCTGCTTTGGTATAGATGTGGAATTAGGGTGAAGTCATTTAACTCTTGCTTGAGAATAAAGAATGTTGAGAAATGGGTTTGGCAAAAATGAGCTGCTCACAACCCTGCTGTTCTGTTTTGTCCCCTTTTTGTTGGTTCTTGTATTTTCCCTTTCTTTGAGATGGCAGTCGTTTTAACCCAGTAACCTTGCTATAAAACCTGCGCAGGTACATGAGCAGTTTTAAGTTTTATTTGAATCACTTAAATATATTATACTGAGGAACTAACTCTGCTTTCAGTTATATTTATAGCTTTGAGGCTCACAGACCTATTGTTTAGATTTTTCCCCTCCCCTTTGATTAGAAAATGAATAGAAATTTCCTGCATTCTGTTGGGATTCTTTTTAAAATAGTATAGGTGCATTCACTGTGCTATGAGTAACTCCTGAAGCTGGAGATCGGTCCTAAAGAAAGGACTTTAATTACAGCTTTGGTTCTTCATCATACCCTCTTTGCCACACCAGCAGGTGCAGAATTGAAGGTTCAAGTTCAATTCTGCCATTTAAAAGGGGACCTCACAAATCTGGTTTATTGTTGTTATAAATTATTGTATGCAGGCAGCCTGTGGCATTTGTTTAAAAAAACTGTAAAGAAAAAAGCCAAATCAGCATTAAACTTTGAAATGAATGATTTGTGGTGCCTTTGACCATGGATATGATGCTTTGGGAGGTCAGCTTGTTGACGCCGTTGTAAGATTTTAAAAGGATTATCCCATGAAAGCAATTGGGAATAGTGTTTCTCAGGAGGTGTACAAAAAAAAAATTAAACTTGCACATTCCCAATCTCACCTTAATTTTTTCAAGTATAAGTAACAGTGTCAATATTTAAGATACCCAGCCACAGGACTTCCCTGGAGGTCCAGTGGTTAAGACTCAGTGCTTTCACTGCCGTGGACCGGGTTCAGTCCCTGGTCGGGGAACTAAGATCCCACAAGCTGCACAGTGTGGCAGAAAAACAAACAAACAAAAAAAACAGAACAAAAAAAAAGATACCCAGCCACAGTAGGATGAAGAAATTTATGTAAAACTAATCTGCCAAATAAAGACCAATTTAATGTCGTTCTACTTTGAAGTAGAAATGGACTTAAGAGAAAGTAAGTGCATTTAAGGATGTTGCTTCTAGGTGAAACGAACCAGTTCATGTGTTCAGTGTAGGATGAGCTCCCTCACGTTGAGGCTCCTTTAAGTGCCATGTCTTAGAGGATGTATGGGTACATACACCATAAGGACTTAATTTCAATTAGCGCCCACCCCCACTCCCCAAGAAGTGAGTTTCCACAGTCACTGTCCTTGTCTCTAAAATGAGATAGATTGCTCCTCAGAAGAAAGCAGAGTTTTGTTTAAACAAGGTAACATTGAGGATACCTGTACTCCCAAGCTTTACATGAGACTTAAAATACCATTTTATTATTTAGCTTGTTTGTTAGGCTAGGGCTTTTTTAAGAGGTGGAATGTCAGGATCAACAAGTTAGATCTTGGTCTCTGAGGATGCTGGTAAATCTCCAGGTTACTTCTCCCCCCTTACCACAATTTCGTTCCCTCGATTGACTGTAATATGTGCTGAAGTAACTTTGTTTTACCTAATAGATTTACAATCTGTTAGCATGTTTAAAAAAAGCATTAAACACTTATGACTGAAAAGAAAATACGTCCTCTCCAGCAGTATCTACTCTTCTCCCTCTCCCAGAATCTGTATTTTTGCTTTTACCATGATTTTTATTTTAAGGGGGGGAATAAGTAGACATGAGAGTCCAATAAATTCATACTAAAAGTTCATACTGAGCTAAAATATAATTATACCTTGACTACAAAATTTTAAGGTTATTTTTATTTACAAGTTTTGAAAAATGTACATTTTTTACATGGGTTACTTGTGCAAAGTTAAATTCAGAAGAGTGATAAATGCACAAAAGGTGACAATGGAACATCAGACAAAACAAGCTTTGTCCCACACTGCTACTTAAAGGTACTGTCAATCTGAAAGTATAAATATCCAAAGAAAGATTACAGACATTGACTTTAAGGTTCTTATAATACTGAAAGGGAGGAAGAAACTAAAGCATGCAGCATTAACAGAGGATTTGAGTGGAAAATAGTTTACCACAGACACGTTCCCTTCCTTGGGTTAATTAAAACTCTAAAAAAAACAATGATTATAAATTTGTTCATCTAGGGTAGCACTGCTCCTTTAAAAGGATTAAAGGATCTCCAACCTTCCCTAGCTTAAAAACTAATGATTGTTTCCATTCCTCTGCTCCCACACCTCTTTAAAAAGTGAAAATCCAGAAGACTTCAGTATTCTGAATCTTAGCTTGGGTGTGTCCATTGAACACCTTGCAAGGAGAGGAAGTGTCAGTTACTATGCTGCACTCCTTTGGCTGAGCCCTTTAACATTCTCCTTCCTACCAGTACAAAACACAACTCATGTTAGTTTGATATTAGTATCATAGCCTTTTTAGCTTCCATTGCTCTTTCAAAATGAGTGTTTATGTGGATTTGTTTCCCTGTCTTCTATAGGCCATATTCCAAAAATTCACTTCTAAATCCAACAAAAGTGAAGGACCAGCCAGGGTGAAACTCTTCAATAATCATTCTGTTAAAAATAACTTTCTGGTCATCAAGCTATGCATAAGCACCACTTGTAAATTCATTCATTTTAAAAGCTTAGTGTAAAGTACAGTAACACAATACTGCCATAAAACTGGAAATGAGATACAACAGAAAAGGAATTAATTAAGCATTAGTGACTTTTTGCACGTAACCCAGGTACAGTACATTTGATCTCATAGAGGGTGTTTTCTGATGTTTAAGGAGAGGGTAGAAGGGGTAGGAAAAGCCTGGCAAGGGAAGATGGAAACAGCACAACAGCTATTTTGCTTTTAATAAAGTAAATGTAATGACACTGATGAATAGGAAGGTGACAAACACATCAATATATATTTTTCTTATGACCAGCTGCTTCTTTTCCTGCACCCGGGTCAACAGTCACGCCAGCTCTGTTCTACTATCGCAGAAACACGTTTTTCATACTCCCGCTTGTTCTCCTGGTACAGCTGAGCAGCCTGGCTGTTTGCTGGACTATTGGGATTGGGTTCATCCAAAAGAGACTATAGAGACAATTTGTAAAAAGTCAGTTCCTCAATGCAAATATACATATACATATGGTTGGCTAAAAACTTTGTTCAGGTTTTTCGTACCATCTTATGCAAAACCTGAACGAACTTTCTGGCCAACCCAATATGTATATTCAACACACTCGAATTGTCCTAGGTAGCAGCTAAATTTGCTCTCTTAGCATAATAGTCTACAGTTACATTAATCTGCTAGTAGCTAGGCAAACGTGTATGTTTTCTGGTGGGTTAGGTCTTACCTACTTTTTACTTATGACTTTCAAAAACAATTGCTAATATAAACATATCAAAGGCCATAGTCACATTAAGGAAAATTCACCTGTATGGATGTTAAAATGGAAGACACATCATATGTTGGACTCCAACGGTTCTGAAGTATGTCCAGACATATACTACCATCTGCATAGACTAAGAGCATAGAAGTAGGTTATGTTAAACATAACAAAACCATTAAGGTTTTAATATCATAGTCAAGACAAACACAATCAAGAATACTTTGCTTTTGAGGTTTAAAAAAGACTACTTAGCTGCCTCTTAGTTACCTTCCTAAAAGTGTCATAATCACTACTAGTGAAACAGGATGATCAGAGAATGTCAAACATAATCAGTATAAAACTGGAGGATACCTAATGCTTGTTATTCTGAAAAGACTGCCCTGTTATCCAGGAAACCACGCACAATTTTTAAGAGGGTTCCTCATCATTGATAGACTTATGGGAAATTCACTCCACTAAATTTTTAAACTTTATCTCCTATCTGAAATAACCAAGATAGCTCAGAGTTCACAAGGTTTCATTTTGGTGTGAAGATAAAAATATCTGATACCCTGGAAAATACATTATTAACCTGAATAAAAGGCAACTTGTTCTAGGCTTACTACTAGAAAAAAAAATAAAAGAGCAAAATAGTAAGTTAGAATCACCTGTGGCACTTTTCCAATATACCGTATACCTGGACTCAACCACAGAATCTGATATTTAGTGGGTCTGGAGTGGGGCCGGGACATCCATGGCTTTTAAATGTCCGACGCTAATGCTGATCTGCATCCAAAGCTGAAAACTATTGCTCTAAATGCTAGTGAAAATAATCACAACACAAAACTACCCCAATCTGGCCTTACATTAAAAGGAAACCTCAAGAACATCCTTATTTTTGTTTAGTAAGTAAATGATAAAATCATCAAAACCAGGAGGCTCTCAGATTCCAAGCAAAGGCAATGTCCCTTCACTGCTTCAGTTCTAGGACCACAGACCAAGACAGCAACAGACCACCATGAACAAGTTCAGCTTTCAGGAAACAGCAAGATGCCTAGACAAATACTCAGGTGCTACAGACAAATAGCAAATGTGGAATACCTCCCAAATAAACAGTGTAGTAGTTTGAAATACTGTATTAAAAGTGATACTTGCCATTTGGATGAAACATCTTAGAGACAAATCTAACCGTAGGTGGCTTATTCGGATATTCTTCAGTGAATTCTATTGTAAGCTTAAAGGTTCCTGTAATTAGAAAAGAAAGGGTTAAGAAAACCTACTTATCACTTTGTTCGGTAGTACTTTGTTTTTAATACTACATGACTTCTTTTTTCAAATATTATATGAAATAATGCAAAGATATAGAGTAGAGAGGAAAGAGACCAGGTAAGAGATACAGCTCCAGAGACTGCCCTAAAAATGGACAGACACTGTAAGAACCATCACTCAAAGGTGATTTGTTTTCTGTTTTTCCATTATTCTCCCCCAAACTTAAATACAGCCATTTTAAACTCAAAATTACTGCCTGCAGGATAACTTTAGCCACTGTACATTTTGAAGACATCCTTAAAATGACAAGCAACTAGAGCCAAAACGTGGCCTTCCTCCTTGAGAAGACTGAAAGACCTTAATAAAGGCCAATTTTAATCAGCTGTCATCTTAAATGGTGATTTTTAAATGCACTAGAAAGAATGAGAGCACAAAGTTCAAAAACCAATGCTAGAAATACAAATCAGTAATCAAATTATTTTTAAAATAGCAGGAAATAAGAAAAGTGTTCACTGGCTCCTCTTCATGTAATAGCAACTCTATAATGAAAACATAATTGAATGTAAGCCAGAAAAAACTTCACAGTCCCTCTTTAAAACCCTCAAGTATGACTCACAAGCTACTTCACTATAAAACCAACTCAATTATTCACACTAATGGTAGGAATTAATGGCAGAAATAATTAAAAAATCATATTAGATTGCATTCATGTCTCCAGTAAATTTCTTTCTAATGATGTTTACGCTACTATTGAAACAAATTATTTTTCTTGAATATGCGTCAACTAAGGTAGCAGGAGGCCCTAAAGTATACTAAGTTAACAGACTTATTTATAAGAAATGGACAAACTGGATCTCATTCAAGAATTGCTGGGGACTTCCCTGGCGGTCCAGTGTTTAGGACTCTGCGCTTCTACTGCAGGGGACACTGGTTCGATCCCTGGCCGGGGAACTAAGATCCCACGTGCCCCACAGCACGCCCCCGCCCCCCACCAAAAAAGAATTGTTGGATGTTGTGATTTGGGGAAATTATTTTCTTCAAAATGTTATTTTTAATTGGGTTTAATAAATTCAAGAAAACAACTGGGCAATTGTTTTTTCCTGACTGAAATTTCTTGAAGTAATCTTAAGGAATCAGTTATTATCTAAGGTGATGCACGTTCCACTATATTACTCTGGTCCATTTAATAAATTACTTATTCTAATACAATAGACCACACTTCAGATAGAGTATAATTTGTTACTGGTTCCTTCGAGTTAGCAATTTATTTCCTCCTTGCTTCCATTCCTCCTTTCCACTTAAGAAAAAAAGACTATAGGGCTTCCCTGGTGGCACCGTGGTTGAGAGTCCGCCTGCCGATGCAGGGGGCACGGGTACGTGCCCCGGTCCGGGAGGATCCCACATGCCACGGAGCAACTAAGCCCGTGTGCCACAAACTACTGAGCCTGTGCTCTAGAGCCCGCGAGCCACAACTACTCAAGCCCGCGTGCCACAACTAATGAAGCCCACGCGCCTAGAGCCCGTGCTCTGCAACAAGAAGCCACCGCAATGAGAAGCCCGCGCACTGCAATGAAGAGTAGCCCCCGCTCGCCGCAACTAGAGAAAGCCTGCGCAGCCACAAAAACCCAACGCAGCCAAATATAAATAAATAAATATATAAAAATTAAAAAATGCAACATATGGAGACATATTATATTCCCCAACTATAGTTACTCCCTAAACTTGAAAGTCAGATCTGAAGTTACTATGTATTATAACTAAGGACAAAAAGCAAAATATTTTGGAATGGATAAACATGCTATAGTCCATCAGAACACACTTCACCTTTATCACCACCTGGTCATAACTCTTCCTATTTTTGAGGAAGAAAGCATAGTTCTTTCTTTTCCGTTCTATTGATATTATAATACGCAAGAAAAAGTGGGAATGAGTGTTAGTTCAAAACTCTGAGCTTCCTTATGTATCTCAAGTATAAACACATTTGGCTCAGTGTTGATACCCGCTTAAATTATAGCTTAGAGATTTATCATCAAGAAATTGCTCTAAAAAAACTGCTCTAAAATTGGGCAGATTTAATAGCATGCAGAGCTCCCAGGTACTTTAAATTAAAACCATCATTAAATATGATACCTAAAGGTGGTAAAGTCACACAGAAGGCAGGCGTAGGTGGAAACAGTGGAGTGCAGTGGGGCAGAGCAGAAGCTTTGCAGTCAGACAGATCTGGGTTCAAATCCTTGCTTTGCTACTTGCTAGTTATGAAACCTTTGGGGAAACTGCTCAACTTGAGTAAACCTCAAGTTCCTCATCTGTAAAATAGGGTTAATAATAGTACCTGCTACATAACATTGTTGTGAGGTTTAAATGAGGGAAAGATGCACAGTGACACAAAATAAGTGCTTCATAAATATTTTAGTTACAGTAATTCTACAGTTTCATATCTCTAGACCCAGCTGAAGGAGGCAAAACCCAAAAATCCAAACTTCACTATCAGTAAGAAAAATACAATTAATGAATTCAAATATTAAATAGTACTTTCTTTCTGACCTACATCAATCACAGTGAAAGCAAGTTGAGTACATACGCTGGTGGCTCACAAAACCCTTGACTTGAACTTTCTGCCTAATGCTTGCCTAAAAGTTCAATAAGGTGGTTACCTAGCTACCAAAGAAGTTAATCAAGTCTTTAAGAACAGCTCATTTAATATCTTGAGAAGTGAAACCAAGATAATTTATATTCAATGTGAATATAAATTAGGACGTACCTAAATCTTACTCAAAGCACACATTTAAAGGGATATTTCATACTTTTAGCCACCTTAAACAATGAGAACCTCTTTAGTACAACTCTCAATCCAATTTCTGAGGTCCAAAACAAATGTTAAGGAAATTTAAAATCTGAGAATTAATACTACGCAATCGAGACTAGAGCTTGTCCTCTGAATATTTAGAAGGCTAGGCTTTAAAATAATTGGAAACTGAAGCCTCACCATTGTTGTATACAATCTGTACTGATTTTTTTATCTTCCTGAGGAGGTCACAACATTGTAAGGAAAGTATGAATTAATCCATCTATGTATAGGGACCAGGAAAATTATATAAATGAGTTAAATGGCGGGTGTATGGCAATAGGGAGTGATATGGTTAAAGCAGAGAGTGTATGTTCTGCCTGTCACAAATTCAATTTTTTGAAAATATTGTATTGGCCAAAGAAAGCACCTCTGTAGGTGGTTCCTGCCATTTAGCCACCAGTCTGTGACCCCTGAGGAGAAAGCAAAGTACATGTACCTAAAAAATTCTTTTTGGATGACTGAAAAAAGTCTGATTTTTAAGATAATACCTAAATACTCTTCATCATAGGATTTATTTACCTTAAGAACACCCCTAGTGGACTTTGATTCATTTTTTTTAAAAGACACCAAATTCTTAAGAATACATCTATTATGAAAATCAAGTACTGGTATCTTACTGTGTCTATTAACAATTTTCAGATGATGTGATGGAGGATACATTGTTCCTTGACCTTCGTATTCAGCATACATACCAAGATATTTTATGAGGAAGTATTTCCCCCCAATGTTTTGTTTGGTAGTGTAAGCTCTTGGGAACATAGTCCTCTTACCTTCAAGTGTGTAAAGTTAAATCAAATACCTTTAAGAGTTCCTTTTCTTAAAATTTCATCTCTTTAACTAGGGTCTGGCTGTTCCAGAAACCTCCACTACAAATGGTTTACAAGGAAGCAGCAAAAGTAGTTTTGGAGCTGTTGATTTATATAACACATTGGCAACAGCAAAACCAACTATGCCACTTGTCCCTAATTGGGCCTTTCCAGTAAATTCCCTAACTGTAAATAACAGGGATTTTTAAATGGTCAAAAAATTTCTTGTAAACTTGGTCAGTGTTCTAGACACCTGAGAAAGCATCCATGGATAGCAGACTGCTCAAAAGAATGAATGAGAAAAGGGTACTGTCATTTAGCCTGAGTAATTCCTTTCAGCAATGTCAGGGCGGAGATACACATCATCAAAAAAAGAGCCAGTAATGTCAAGGGGGAAGGTCCAGGTAGATAATGGATTCCACAAGTACCTTTTCAACTCATACCACTTAAAACGAGAGAAGCACCCTTGAAATATTTAAGTTGCCAACCCCAGCAAAGTGGTGTACTAGTAATAAAGCTGTGCCCAGTGTAAAGCAGTCTGAGTAAAATCAGGAGGAAAAAAGAAGCCAATGAAAACAAAGCCTGCTGGAGCTAAAGCAAATACACAGCTAATCTGCACATAAAACTTAAGTATGAAGAACTAGCACCAATCTAGTAGAGGAAAATTAAGCTTAGCTAGCTCTTGCTACAGATCAGGATCAGTTCAAATGATTTACTGCACCAAAGTATCAATAGTATGGCTTGAGGATCACACTCCCCTGCTGTCATTTCTTTTTATTGCAGCACTGAAGAGCAGTGATATCCACCCAGTGGGTGAAGGTAGAGAGGAAACTACAAGTATTTAGGCTATTGTCTACAGTCTTCTAGGGAAATGTGAGTGTTTGAGACAAATCATAGAATTGGTTAATATTGACCTACCTCACAACATCTTGTGGTTGGTAGCATCAAAAAGCAAACTGACTTGGCAACATAAGTTTGTACTTAGTAGTTTGCAGAAATGTTTTTGTTCCTGCCTTCAAACTGAGTTATGTGCATATGTGTGTGCATATGTGTACAATATCTCTCAAATGCTACGTGACCAAAGGAAGGTAAGTCATTGAGAAAAAAATAACAGAAAGATCCTTTTCTTTTTAAAAATACCTCAAGATATTAAAGATGTCGATTAGTAGTTCAAATACTTTTAATCATCTTTTTAAATGTATTAAGCTTTCAAAAACAATTAACTACATACACACAAACACACACACACACATAACTGAATGCACTAAAACTATATCAATGTTAATTTCCTGGTTGTGCATAGTCATTCAAGATGACTTGTTACCAAAGGGGCGGGGGCGCAGGTGAAGGGTATACAAGGTCTCTCTGTAATATTATTTATTACAACTGCACATGAACCTATAATTATCTCAAAATAGGAAGCTTTAAAAAATCCTTAAAAAGCAACTAACGTGTGTTTTTAAAGGTCAAACCTAAACCCATTAAAAATCAGGTAACTATAAGTACATGTAGTACCTTGAAGTAGGTTGGACACTGGTCAAGACAGTACATTAAGGCTCCCCTCAACTGTGAAACTGCTTTGAGATACTGACCATCAAGTCTTGATAAAAGCACATACTGAAAACTCATTTAAAAATTAGAAACATTATGCTCAAACTGGCTATTAAAGGTGCCATTAAAGACCATCTTAAAGCAGTGAGGCTGACAGGCACTCAATGCCAGACGGTAGAAACCAGACAATTGTGTGCAAGGGATTCTTGCATCCATTCAACATCCAACAAACACACATTAAGCACCTGCTGAACACAGTTCCCGCCCTTGTGAAGAATTCTGAATCAAATGGTCCCTGGGGTCTCTGAGCCTATCAGCAAGTGGTTGGGTTGACACTTACTCAGTATCTTGATGGGGGGCTGAATTTAGCAGGATCACAGCCCAAACCTCACAGACCCTTAACATCAGTGGTATGATGCTCCTTTTACTGCCTTACCCAGATTTTTTTTTAAGAAGCAATAAAAAAGATGCAGTTCTAGTCAAGCGGACAATAGCCAGAACAACCTGCCACAGATTGGATTCCACTCAAGCCTTTAGTAGGCAGAGGCTAGGGAGAAGCGGGTTCCTAAGTAGGAGGCACTTCCAGGATGACTGGGAACCCTTTCCCCAGATGATCAGGCTCCTGAAAGGTGGGTAAAGAAACTCTCTTACCATCCTCAAACGGGGTCCCTTCAGGCCTGCAACACAGAGAAAAAACAAT